CTGTCGTCGTTGACCTCTGTCGTCCTCGCCCACGCCGCATCCGTCGTCCATTGGCGTTCGACGGTTCAATGAACCGTCGAACGCCGATGAACCGATGAACCGGTTTCGATCGGCCTCGACGATGAGCGCCGATGAATCGGGTTCATCGGCGCTCGATGATCGCGGCTCGAGGGTGATTTCTCAGTCGTCCCATTCGCGCTCTGGCCGCGAGCTATTCGTTATCATGCTGCAACTGTTCCTTCTCATCGAGAGGGCCGATGTCTACGAGGGCCAGTGGCTGGACTATATGCCTGGCAGTCCTCAGTGAGTCAGTTAACCACAGCTTTTCCTGCAACCGCTCCCAACCTCATTCGCTCCGCGGCGCAGCCGATGCTCGTCCCAGAGTAGAACCTAAGCGCACGCGAAGCGCGCGTGGTTCTAGTGTATATATATATATATATATTTCTATATATATATATAGATATACACACGTTTATGTATGCATATGAGGAGAGCGAGAGAGAGAGAGAGAGAGAGAGAGAGACAACACAACAACGCATTACAATAACAGTATTAATTATTCACTGCACGGAGCTCCCCATATGAGTGTCTAGGCGCAAGAGTTTTCGAATATTCACGGGCTTCAATATTGACGGTCTTGGCGTCCTGGGGCTTCGTGGAGCCCCTTGGGGCCTCCTGGGGAGGATTCGTGCCCCGGGAGAGGCCCAATCTATTTATAGGAACAGACGTACATGAGCCTGGCGAAGGACCCAACCATATGCAGTTGTGATTACCGCAGCTGTGGGTATCGCCTTCGGTGGGGCTCCCTATGGGCCACGAAGTGTTGTAATGGATGGGGGAGACCCATGTGGACACCGCCACTGCGACCTTAGGTGGAGCTCCGTATGTGGCCACGAAACGCTGTACTGGATGGGGGAGACGCATGTGGACACCGCCACTGGGGCCTTAGGTAGAGCACCCTATGGGGCCACGAAACTTTGTGCTGGGTGTGGGAGACGCATGTGGACACCGCCACTGGGGCATTAAGTGGGGCTCTCTATGAGGCCACGAAACTTTGTGCTGGGTGGGGGAGACGCCTGTGGACACCGCCACTGGGACCTTAGGTGGAGCTCTCTATGGAACCACGACGCGCTATGCTGGGTGGGGGAGACGCTGGGACCTTCGGTGGAGCTCCCCATGTGGCCACGAAACGCTTTGCTTGGTGGGGGAGACACGAGACACCGCCACAGGGACCTCAGACGGAGCTCCGTATGGAACCACCGGGCGTTGTGCTGGGTGGGGGAGACGCATGTGGACACCGCCACTGCGACCTTAGGTGGAGCACCCTATGGGGCCACGAAACGCCGTAATGGGTGGGGGAGACGCATGTGGACATCGTTACTGGGACCTTAGGTGTAGCTCCCTATGTGGCCACGAAGCGCTGTGCTGTGTGGGGGAGACGCATGTGGACACCGCCACTGGGGCATTAAGTGGGGCTCTCTATGTGGCCACGAAACTTTGTGCTGGGTGGGGGAGACGCCTGTGGACACCGCCACTGGGACCTTAGGTGGAGCTCTCTTTGGAACCACGAAACGCTATGCTGGGTGGGGGAGACGCATGTGGACACCGCCACTGGGGCCTTAGGTGGAGATCCCTATGTGGCCACGAAGCGTTGTGCTGGGTGTGGGAGACGCATGTGTACACCGCCACTGGGACCTTAGGTGGAGCTCCCTATGGGGCCACGAAGCGCTGAGGACTTGCGCAGGGCAGAGGCAGGGCTGGGAGGAGGGAGGAGGGGGAGGATGAAGGAAGGAGGGAGGGAAGGAGGGAGGGAAGGATCGCCGGGACCGTCTCTGCAAAACGAGGACCCAACACCGCAGGATGGTTGGGAAAAACACAGGCGCAATTAAGCGTCGATGAGCAAGAACATATGGGAAAATATGGGAAGTGGGGGGGAAGACGAAAACACAGAACATGGGAGAGTATGGGGACACTGGGAGTTGTGTGCATTTATTTGTGTGTCCCTGGGCCCCCTCACATTTGCTTTGCGATCTCTTGTCGTCGTTTCGCTCGTCATGCTGTCGGCGAGCATCGAAGCATGTGGACGCCGTGCGAAGGAAACAAATGAGATTCACAGCTTCGAGAGGGCCTGCGCCCTTGGGGACGAAGTTTAGGTCGGGCATGTCCCCCTACAGGCTGATTTTGCACGAACAATCAAACAGATCACAAAAATATTCAAATAAGTCAGAACATACTCAACAAATCGTCCCTATGCTTTTTTCACCATTTTTGAATTTTCCTCCTGTAGAGGGACATGCCCGACTTACGACTAAGTCCCTGCGCGCGAGGTGCGCTCTCCACGTGCACTCGCACCGGAACGCGCCAGAGAAGTGCCCCAGAACCGAAACTTTGCAGCGAAGCTCCACAGCCTGTATCTGAGGGGCAACAATTAGGGGAATCCAAACCTCCGTCGACCTACGAGGGCACCTGGCTGAGTAGTTTTCCGCTCGTTCGTTTCTGGACGTTAGCGGATCAGCGCAAGGTCCGCCCCACCGCGCAAAGCGCCCCCGTGACAGAAGCAAGCATAATGTCCCCGACTCGCCTCGTCGCAGAGCCGGTTGTTGGTGCGGCGGCCTCCTTTGGCGATTTGCACTGGCGTTAACGTGCATGTGCACACCGTTGTTCGCAAAGCCGGACGGCCAGGTCGTGGCCAGCGTCTGCATTCTCTCGTCTTCTCGAGCTGAGGGGATCTGCAGGGTGCAGGACGCAACGGTAGATGGGAGCGTCTGAAGAACGCGGAGGATGATGATGATGAGGAGGAGGAGGAGGAGGAGGAGGAGGAAGAGGAGGAGGAGGCGGAGGAGGAGGAGGAGGAAAAGGATGATGAGGATGGTGTTTTTGTCTACTTCCCAGGGGGGGCTCGACCAGGCCTCCCTGGGGGAAGCGGCAACGTTCGGAGAATTCCATTGCCGTCATTGCCTCAGGAGGAGGAGGAGGAGGAGGAGGAGGAGGAGGAGGAGGAGGAGGAGGAGGAGGAGGGAGGAGGGAGGAGGGAGGAGGGAGGAGGGAGGAGGAGTAGGAGCGAGGAGAAGAAGGAGGAGGAGGAGGAGGAGGCCGAGGAGGAGGAGGAGGCTGGGGTGCGCTCCTGGTTTTCACCATGGGCGGTCACAGACGGACTGGGGCGCGCCCTGCGGCGGCCTGCGCCAGACGGTGCGAGCGGAGCCGAGCGAGCCAGAGCAAACACGGATGCAGGGCGCGAGGGCCGAGAAGCGGCGGGGGGGGGGCCTCGTTTTCCTCCTCCTCCTCCCCTCCCTCCTCCCTGCTCCCCCTCCTCTCTTCTCCTCCTCTCCTCCTCCTCCTCCCCTTCCTCCCCTCCTCCTCCTCCTCCTCCTCCTCCTCCTCCTCCTCCTCCTCCTCCTCCTCCTCCTCCTCCGTGGGGGAACGTGGCTGCATATCAGGGGCGTCTCACTCTCGATGGCCGAGTGGGCGGGCCGTAGTCGGACAGTGCAGGGTGGCACCATCACGCACCCTACCTGGATCACCCTGTAGGTTGCCGAGGGGAATGTGGGTCATGTCTCGGAGGAGGAGGAGGAGGAGGAGGACATGTACCCATACCGCTACCCTTCCCTCGTTTTCCTTTTTCGGGGCCTCCTGGGCGGCCCTCGTCGCCACCGCTGGATTCGTTTCTAAACTCTCTTGTCAGAACGCACCCTGGGAGAGGTCCATGGAGTAGCGGTATCGGTACCTTTGGGTTTCCCCCAGAGGGGGTCCAAGTGGATGCTCGTGTGAAATGTGGCTCATATCTAGCCCAGCCTAGCTTAGAAATGGTCGACACATGTCCTGAGTGGTTTAGAAGGGTTAGGTGTTTCTGCTAAGTGGGCTCCGCCCACTTAGCTCAGATCTGTACCCCCCGTAAGCCGCTCAGGGCTCATAGCTAGGTTTGGCCAGATCTGACCCCCTTTGGCATCCACTTAGAACCTCCCCATCGCCTTAGCAACCTCTTTCGTGATCCAAGTGCGCGTGGCGTTCCAGAAGGGGCCCCGCGTTCGAGGATCGAAGAAGCTGACATCTCTTCCTAGGCGGAAGTCGGCGGAAGGCGGCGGAAGGGCAACGGGGGGCGGCTCTGCGGGCGGAGGCCGGCGGAATGCTGGCGGAAGCTGGCGGACGTAAACGAATGCCCATCCGAGATGTCAGCATTTTTTGATTCAGGATCTCCTCAGTGCTGCCTCGGTCGGCCGCTCCGGCCCGCTCGACGCGGAACTCTCCCACGTCTGAGCGCTTTCCCCTCCACCTCCCCCCACACGGCTGTTCTCGTCTTTTCCCCCCTCTTGCACGCCTGCCAATTAGCCTTTCGGTTGCCTCGAATCGCCACACGCTGTTGCGGACTGCCTCTGCCTCGCCGTCGACGAGACAAGTGTCAGGGTTTCCGGAGCGGCCCATATGTCCTACGTCGTGCTTTGCGCCATTCCATTGGCCTCGAGGGGCGGGAGGGATTGACAAGCTGGGAGCTGGATGCCTGGGCCGTGGGCACTCGAGGAGGGGAGAATCTCAGGTGTCGTACAGCCCCGAAGGGGAGGAGAGCAGGGGCCGGTGCAGCCTCAACCTCTCCGTTGTTTTGTCAGCCTTGGAGCCGCACAGATGTCCCAGCCTCGCAGCGAACACATCGGGGCATTCCAGCTTGTCCTGTTCCAGCAGGGGCATCTTTCGTTACTCCGAGTTTCCTAATATGCGTCGCGGGGGCGTCACCCCTGCCGACAACCCCACATCGACCCCCAGTGTGGGCGGCCACCGCGCGCCGAATGCGCTCCGACCCCCGTCGTGGCGCGACAACGAGGCGAGGTTGACCCCCGTCGGGGGGGTACCCACCCACGCGTGTTAAGAAATCCAGAGTACACAGACACTGTAGCAGGATCCTGGAAACTTATCCATCTCGTCCTGCCGGCGCGAGCACGTTTCTCTTCACCTGACAGGACCAGATCGAAATGATCCTGGTGTGAGGGACGGCTTGCCAGTGGCAAGGGGGAGCCAAGGAGGCCGCGAGGACTGGATGACGAGCTTTCAGTGTCACGAGGGTTTTGCCTGCTCTGTCACTCGATATGTGTTCCCTGCGCCCGATCCACAGCTCAATACCGACCGCACCCGCGTGTCAACATCAGCCTCATGTGAGCAACGCAAAACAAGGAGGTCGTCTGCACCGACATTGGCGCGTAAGCTGCCCGCGTAAGGTCGCGCGTAATTGCCGCGGCGTCTCCTATGCAGCGTGCCGCGGCGACGGCCCGCGTAAGCCACCGCGCAAGGTCGCTGCGTCATCTCGCGTAAGACGCGGTTCTGATCGTCGATCACGGAGTAGCCATTCGTGGTAGGACGCTCGCTGTGTCTCTGCAGCTGTTCTTTGCGGGGCGAGCCGCACCTGGACGTGCCGCTTCCCGCAAAGGCGTGTTTCGAATATTCGCGGGGCGGTCCATCTAGCGGAATGGCATGTTCTATGTTTTGGATCGTTTCATGGGGCGTTCCAAAAGAGGGCCCTGCCTTCGAGGACACAAGGAGGTGCCGTCTCTTCCGCGGCGGAGGGGCGGCGGAAAGGGCGGCGAAAGCAAAACGAGGCCGCCTCCGCCGGCGAAAGCTCGGCGGAAGGCGGCGGAAGTAAAAAGATGCCCTCCAAGAGATGACAACGCTTTTGGGTTCAGGGTCTCCGAAGTCGCCCATATGAGCACGGTACGTTTTGTGCTGTTGCCCTCTCGCGACCGACAGTGGACATTCCGCTGGCCATCGTGAACCGCAGCGCATTGCACCTTCTAGGTTTCTTGCGTAAAGGGTTCCGCAACCACATCCCTCGTATTACCCATGGGCATGTGCTTACCATGCCATCTCAGTGCGCCTCTTCGAACGTTGCACATGCTGTGTAGTACTTTGACGGCTCGCATGTGCTTGCAGGTGTCTTGCGTGCCTGCTTTTATGGGTCACGACTCTGGCGTTGTTCGGGGCCTCTCGGGCGGCCTTCAAGGGCTCTCGGGCCGTCTGGGTGGTCTTTGGGCTGCTGGGGGCGCCCTGGGGCCGTCCTGAGAGGTCTGGTCTCGGCCCGTTTTTGTGGGTCTGCGGCCGCTTTGGGTGGTGCCGTCTTGGGCGGGGCCGTCTTGTCTTGGACCGCGTCTCGCAGCCCCTTCTTGGGGGGGCCCGTGCCCGTCTTGTCTTGGACCGCGTCTCGCAGCCCCTTCTTGGGGGGGCCCGTGCGCTGTCGTGCTTTTTTATCTGTTGTCTGGGAGGGCCGCCGGGGCGACGCCCAGGGAGGCGCAGGCTGCAGGCCAACCGCGGGCCGTCGTCTCTGCGAATCAGCGCCCCCTGCCCTGTGGATTCGCCTCCCTCCGGGGGCTCCCGGGGCTCTTGGGGCCCTTGGCGATCTTGGGAACCTTGGGGGTCTTTCGGGTCCTGGTGATCTTGGGGATCTTTTGGGATCTCTGGGATCTTGGAGTCGTGGGGCCCTCGGGGCTCCTGCGCCCTCTGGGCGTTGACAGGGCAGGCTCCTTCGAGCACTCCTTTTGTAGTTGTTGCGCCGCAGCGGTGGCGACGGCGAGCGCGCACCGCGCCCGCGGCGCAGGCGGGGGCGCTGCTGCGATCTTTTGGCCTGGCGTCGCTCGGGCGGTGTGCACTGTTTCTCTCGGCGAGGGCCGTCGAGGAGCCTTGCTCTTGTGGGTCATCTGGCGCACAGAGATGCACTCACGCCGCCGACTAATGCACGGGGGATGGGCGTCCGAGCGATGGCGATCGGGCGGAGAGCCCTACTCTTTTGGGCCACCCTGCCAACAGAAAGACGCGTGCGACGCCGGCAGAGGCACGGGGGATGGGCGTCCGAGCGATGGCGAGCTGGGCGAACTGCGCACATGCCGGTGGTGGGGGACGGCAGGGGGGGGTGGCCGCGGAGGAGGGGAAGGAAATGGCGGCGCGTTCAGGCCAGAAGGACTTTGTGTTGTGTGCGGTGCAGCAGCTGATGCACAACCAGAACAAGCATATCCCAGGGACACTCTCCGTGCACGCCCTCCTGAAGACCCCCTCGGCGGCCTCAGTGAGGCTCTTGGGGGGCCCGCGGAGTTCTGGGTTGGTCTTGGGTTCTGGGCGTCGCGTAGGGGGGGGCGATAACTGGGGGGGGCAGCGAAAGCTGCAGAACAGGGGCCCTGCATGGCCCCCAAAGGCTAAGGGGCTCTTCTGGGCCCCAGAGGGGGCCCCGAGAAGTGCACCTTTCTCCCCCCCCCCCCCCCTCCCCCCCCCATTTATCGCCCCCCCAGTCGGCGACGTACAAGGGTTGCCTCTCAGGGCGTCGCGGGGATGCTGGTCTGGTGCTGGAAAGTCCGGGCGCAGCTCTGGTTTGCAGTGCCGGAGCAGCTGAGAGGCCGTCGCAGAAGCGGGCCGTGGGCCGTCTTGGCCCCCCCTCTAGTAGGGGTGATCTTTAGGGTCGTTCTCGGGGCTGCTGGGCGCATGCCCGAGGGTCCTCTCGGGATCTTCCCGGGGACGACGTGCTTCCAGACCCTCGACCCCACCCTGATCATTGGATACTGGCGCTTTCCAGTCGCGACCGACGAGAACGGTCGCTACCGATCTTGCTCCAAGTTTCGGCATCGGTCGCGACCGATCAGCTGAAAAATCTGCCGCTACCGATCGGTCGCGACCGAACGGGCGCGATCGGTAGCGACCCGTCGCGACCGATCCCGGGAGAGGCAGTGGCGAGGCCCCAGGCTCGGGCAGGAGGCGAGGCCCCAGCCTCGGATGCCCCCGCCGAGGGCTGCCGACGGCCGCCGAGGACCTCCGGGGGCCGCCAGGGCCTGCCGAGTGCCGCCGAAGGCCTGCCGAGGGCCGCCGAGGGCCTGCCGAGGGCCGCCCGAGGCCGCCGAAGGCATCCGAAGGCCGCCGAGGGCCACCGAAGGTATCGGGGGGCCGCCGAGGTCGTCCGAGGGCGTCCGCATGCAGAAACCATTGATGCCTGGTGCTGAGCATGAAGGCCCCCCCCCCGGGGGTCTAGCCTGTGGGATCCGGCCAGCAGGAGTTGCCACGGCGCACGCGATACTCACAGTGCTAGAGACGCAGATGCAGGGGCAGGCGCGGTGGTTGACACGGCGCGCGCGCTCGTTATTACAAGTGTTAGTCTCGGTGTCACGAGCATGCCGAGCATGCCGACAGTTTGTTGGTCTTCTTACTGATGTAGTGCCCATTCCTGTGTTCTAGACCTTGCAGGCGCGAAGCGCATTGAAGAAATTGGCTGGGCGGAGATGCAGTGGGAGCAGAAAGTCGGTCGCGAGGGCCGAGGGGACGTTCTGGGCAGGGGAAGACGAGGCGAGAAGGACAAGCGGGTGAGGGAGGGCCAGGGCAGAGGGCGGTGCAGAAGGGCGGGGCGGCGACGGGGGCAGAGGGCGGTGCAAGAAGGGGGTCTGGGGCGGGGGGGATTGGCGGCGTGACGAGGATATGGGCGCTAGGGATGGCGGGAGGTGGATGTGTAGGAGGAGGAGGACGAGGAGGAGGAGGAGGAGGAGGAGGAGGAGGAACGGTATGACGTTGTTGCTGTTGATGGTGAAACTAGTGATGACGGTGATGGTGATGATGACGATGATGGTGGTGGTGGTGTTGATGATGGGTGAGGAGGAGGTAGGGGTGGAGCGGATGAGGGATAATAGTGATGGGGGGAGAGGAGAAACAGTCTTGTATCGGGTGCTTGCACCATTGGGACGGAGCGACGGGCTGTCCTTGAATGGCTGGCCAGTGCAACCCTGCAACGACGTTGGCAAGTCCAGCCAAACATTCGCTCCTCCCATGGACATTTTTCAGGCACTGGGCCACGACCTGCGACATCTTTTGCTCTTCTCTGTTCCACTGCTTCTTCCGTGTTGCGTGGATGCTTGAAGCGGAACAAGGTTACGGGGATCATTTGTGCTCGCGCATCAAGTATTCCTCTGGCGCTCATTGTGGCGTTTGTGTCTGTCTGCGCATGTGCTGTTGATGCTACGTTTGTTATTTTCTCCATGTCCTGCTCAGCGGGGGAGATTGGCATGCTGACCAATGAGACCGGCAGCCAACATACGAAGGAGGTTGAACACGACGCCGGGGCGCGCCGACCTAGCTCTTGTTTGTTTGTTGCCGACCGGGCTCCTGCACCCAACCTGCCACATTCTGCGCCGCGCAGGGGGCGACCACGAGCATGCAGCGCCGCAGACAGAGCCACGACGCAGCCCACCGACTTCGAGCGCAGGGAAAAAAGCCACGCCGAGTGGCCAAGCGTTCCAATGGAAGCGCTGATCGTGACGCGCAGTACGGGCAGGGCACCCCAGCCCCGCGGGCGAGAGCACCGCGTGCCAGCGGCGCGACGCCGGCTGTCCGCACGTCTGGCTCCGGCGCGACGCGAAGAAGCAGTGGCAGCGGATAGCCTCGACCGCGCCTCGGGCCAGCGGCGCGTCTGTTTTCATCTCCAGGTGTCGACGTGGTTCGGGCGCGCGCCCGCGCGCCCTCGGGAACGAAGGAAGACAGTCCCGAAGCGAAGGCCATTCGGCGGCGCGCCCGGGGGCGAGTGAGAAGGGGCGGACCTTCGCAGAAGGCTCGGAAGTTGCCCGGCCTTCTGAGAAGTTTTCTAAGCCTTCCCCGAAGACGCAGAAAACTTCTCAGAAGGCCGGAGGGCTTCTGAGGAGCCCCGCCGCCTTCTGGGAAGGCCTTCTCCTTCTCACTTCGCCCCCTTGCTCGCCGCCGGACCAGACAGACAATCAGGAATCAATCTTGTCGACAGCGTTCAACGGATTCGCAGTGTTTTCTGTACCCACACTTTCGCAGTCAGTCTTCTTGTTTCGCCTCTCACCGCCGCCTAGCGATGTGTGACATGTCATGCACAAGGCGGCAGCAACTTTCGGTAACAACGTTGCATGGAACTTCCATGTCCCGTGGATGCCCACCGACCAGTTGGAGGAACGTGCTCATTGGTGGAGGAACATCGATTGTGCACCGGCTTCGAAAGATCAACTCCATGGAGTCCTATACTATCCGTCGGGCTGCAACCCTACGGTGGAGGTGTTTGTTAAGGAATAGCCCCAGGAGGCGCCAGACCCTGGAGGATTCCGTATCCAATGAGGGCGGCGGTGATTTCCATGGTCGATCCACGATTGGAGTTCCATTGGCTTCCAGACCCTGGATTCCTGATCCAAGGGTTCCTTATCCAGTGCCCACACCGTACTCGAGAGGCTGCAGGCCGGGGCTCTTCTTGGCACGTCTCGTCTCCTTGAACCGAAGCACCCGTCGGCGGCCGCTCGCGGCCCGCCAGGCGTTGCGGCCGCGCGGCGGGCCGCCGCCGCCCCCCGGGGCGGGGCCGGCTGCGCGAATCGGCGGCGCGCCGGCGGAGGCGGGGTGGGGGCCGCGGGGCGGGGCCCGCAGGTTGGATGGATCAGCCACGCGCAGAGGAGGGGGTATGGGGGGAGGGGAGAGGGCTTCTCAGGAGCACCCCTGCTTCTCAGAAGGCGCGGGTCTTACCCATAGGTGCAAGGCCGGCGCCTTCTAAGAAGCAGCCTCCTCCTAAGAAGCCCTCCCCCCTCCCTCCACCCCCCTGTGCGCGCCGTCAAGTGTAGGGACGGGCAAGAGTAGTACAGGGGAGGCCAGTCCACAAGAAGCCTTCCACCAGAACCCCTACGTGCCCTGAGACCCCGGAACGTCCCCCTGGTTGTTGTTGTGGGGGCGTCGCGCTCTCTCCATAATTGTCATCAAAACCATCGAAGGCCAAGAGACTCCCAGGGTGCCTTCGGACTGCTCGACCAAGGAGTCGACCGCCTTCAACTGGGACCCCCAGGAGCCTCCTGAGCCCCGATGGGTACAAAAAAGAGACTCCCAGGGTGCCCTCGAGGCGAGCAGTGTGTTTCTTGGCATGGGTTTCCACTGTATCCCAGGCCGCCCAGATGGGGTCCGAGCAGGCGGGGTCGTAGGATCGCGCCGCGTCGCCGATGCATCGCCGATGCAGCTGGATGTGGAGCTCGATTTTCTCCACGCCGACGTCGCCGATGCAGCGCCGACGTCGTGCATTGCCGATGCATCGGCGATGCGGCGAGATCCTCTGACCCCACTTACGCCGACCCCGTTCAGGAAGCCTCCATAGTATGGTTCTCCCTTCCCACAGAGAACCAAGAGGTCACGATAACGACACGTTCCAGGGTTTCCACGGTGTCCAGGATTGCCAGCTTTTTTCCTAGCATGTGCCACGCGGGCCGCAGCAACGAGGGCCACCAGAGGCCCTGGAGATCCTGGAGCATATCCTGAGCCAGTCCTCTCATGACATCGGCCTCTCCCTCTCCTCCACGAGTGGAGCATCTCTCGGCGAGAGCTGTCTGTCCCTCTTCGGCCTTCGGGGGCCCTCGCCGGGCCCCGAGGCCATCGAGGAGCGGCACCGCGGGATGGAGGGCACGACGTCGGGGGTCAGCCACGCGCAGAGGGGGGTAGGGCTAGGGGGAGGGTTTCTTAGAAACACCCCTGCTTCTAAGAAGGCGCGGGCCTTATCTAGAGATGTTAGGGCCCGCGCCTTCTAAGAAGCAGCCTCCTTCTAAGGAGCCTCCCCCCCTCCCCCTACCCCCCTGTGCGCGCCGCCGACGGCGTCTGTGGGGGGGGGGGGCGCAGGGCGGGGGCCGCAGGGCGGGGCTTGCTGCGCTGGGCTGGCGGGAGGATCGTCGTCGTCGTCGTCCGTCGTCGTCGTCGTCGTCGACGTCGTCGTCGTGGTCGTCGTCTTCGTCGTGGTCGTTGTCGTCGTGGTCGTCGTGGTCGTGGTCGTCGTCGTCGTCGTCGTCGTCGTCGTCGTCGTGGTCGTCGTCGTGGTCGTCGTCGTTGTCGTCGTCGCCGTCGTCCGTCGTCGTGTGTGATCGCGGTCGTGGTCGTGGTCGTGGTCGTTGTCGTCGTCGTCCGTCGTCGTCGTCGTCGTCGTCGTCGTCGTGGTCGTCGTCGTCGTGGTCGTGGTCGTGGTCGTCGTCGTCGTCGTCGTCGTCGTCGTCGTCGTCGTCGTCGTCGTCGTGGTCGTCGTCGTCGTGGTCGTCGTCGTTGTCGTCGTCGCCGTCGTCCGTCGTCGTGTGTGATCGCGGTCGTGGTCGTGGTCGTGGTCGTTGTCGTCGTCGTCCGTCGTCGTCGTCGTCGTCGTCGTCGTCGTCGTCGTCGTCGTCGTCGTCGTCGTCGTCGTCGTCGTCGTCGTGGTCGTCGTCGTCGTCGTCTTGTTGGTCCTCGTCTTCGTGGTCCTCGTCGTCGTGAGTGCCGCCGACCCTGGACGACGTCGACGACGTTGCTGACGTGGGTCAGAGTCCTCAGGGATGCCTCTTGGGATCTCTTCGGAGCGCTCTCGGGGGCCGCTGGGGGCTAGTTTTGGGGCCTCTTGGGGGCTTGTTGGGAGGCTCTTGGGGTCCTCTCAGGGCTTCCCAGGGGCCTCTTGAGGGTCTCTTGGGGGCGTCTTGGCGGCTTCTTGGTGCTTCCTGGGAGCCTCTTAGGCCGATGGTTCGAAATTTTCGTTCGGGTCCACCATCTGGGCTATCTCTTGGAGCCGTCCTGGGGGCCTCTTGGGCCGTCTTGGCGGCCTCTTAGGCCGTCTTGGGGCCCTCTTGGGTCGTTTTGGGTCCCTCTTGGAGGCCTCTTGGACTATCCTGGGGCGATCTTGGGGGCCTCTTGGGCCGTCTTGGAGTGTCGGGAAGCCGAAAAGGCGAGAATCCCCAAATCGATCAAACACCTTTGGATGAACTCTGTTTTTGCCCTCTTGGGAGTGCTCTTGGAGGCCTCTTGGGGCGTCTTGGAAGCCTTTCGGACCGTCTGGAGGCTACTTTGGCGTCTTGGACCGATGGTTCGGCGATTCGGGGTCCTCTTGGACCGTCTTGGGGGCCTCTTGGGGCTTTCTTGGTTCGACCCAACTACGACGTTCCTGCTGAATTTCGCTTTGGCTGGCGCGCTTGAGAAGGAGGGCCCAGGGAAGGGGGGGGGAGCGGCGGCGGCGACGACGACCACGACGGACGGAAGAGCGTCTTCCATACGCCGACAGGGTCGGCGGATTTATTTGCGTGTCCCTGGGCCCCTTCAACCTGGCCTCCGGAGGCGTGGGCTTTTGTGCCCACGCTCCCACTCCGCCCCTTCGTGCATGGATGGGGCGTGGGCAGGGGCACGTCGGGCGGGGCCATAGGACGAGGATCAAAGTCCGATCCGGAGCGCTCCGGAACGCTCTCGGAGCGTGCCGGAGCGCTCTGAGAAGGCCGCGGTGCCCGAGACGTCCTCCGGAGCCGCCAGATCTCAGAGATTCTCGATTTATCGTCAAGTCGGGCGTGTCCCTCTACAGGCGGAATATTCGAAAATAGTGGAAAATAGTCGGGGGACGATTTATTGAGTATTTTGATCGATTGTGACTCTGTTTAAACTATTTCTTATGTTTCGTCGAAAATCCTCCTGTAGGAGGGCATGCCCGACCTAAATTTATCGTTATCCGATGTAACCCTCGTCCTGGCTTCGTCTTAGCACGGACGAGACGCAGATCGCCTCGCGGCGCAGCGAACCGCGCGCGGGCCAGCCCGAGCATGCTCCCGTCGGTCAGATCTGCGCGGCGTCGCTGTCCCGCCTGGTTCGCAGCGGTGTGCAGTCGAGCCGCTGAAACAAGGCCCAATTGAGCGACGTATAACATCTCCGTAGCCATTTTGGCTCACGGGCTGGCCGGCGTCTCGAGTGCAGCAGATGCGGTCCTTGCGAGGTGTATTTGGCAACACCTGGTTAGTCCTGCCGATTTTGGGTGCGGTCTTGATTGGTGGCACCGTCTACCCGAGCTTGTATGCCCAGCGCGCCAGTGCCACTTCGCAGTATGTGGCCGCTATACCTGGTTCTCTGGGAACGTTGGGGTCCGTTGGTTCGAACTCACTTCCGATCCAAACGTTGGAGAACGTCGGGATATTGAACATTGGGAGCGTCGGAAGACTGAACTTGGCTGGGTCCCCCAACGAGGTAAACGTGACCAAGTCTCCGAAAGGGACAGACGCTGCTAGTTCTCCCAACCATGGAGACGTGGATGAAGACAAGGTGGAAGAGGCGAATGCTGACGTGGCTAGGTCTTCCAACGAGGTAAGCGTGACCAAGTCTCCCAACGCGAAAGAATCGGCTACTTCTCCCAACCATGGAGACGTGGATGAAAACAATGCGGAACGGGCGAATGATGACTTGGCCAGGTATTCCAACGAGAAGCGCGTGGCTATGTTTCCCAATGGGGAAGATATGTTTTGTTTTCAGGGGCAATGTTCGTTGCGCCGTGATCGCGAGAGCGCGGAGTTCCCAAACTTTTTTCTTGGTGTCGGTCCTGGGAGATCTGGAAGCACTAGCCTTATTTCCGCACTGAGAGATCATCCAAGTGTGATTGTAGGCGACGCGCGAAATCTGTACATACTGGACAAGGTGAGGGAGTGTGCGAAAGGTCAGAGCGCGTACGTGGATTTCTTCACCAGCGACACGAAATCAAAAAGGAAAACCCATTGGTTCGGGGAGAAAACTCCCATGTACTCGTCGCACCGGCTGGTCCCCTTCCGGGCGAGGGCCATGTTTGGCCCCTCGCTCAAGTTGTTTCTCACCTGGCGCAATCCAGCCCAGATCTTCGCGTCGCGGTATCTTCAATTGTATGAAGAGTCGAGGGCAACTTTGAAGGATGAAAATTTTAGGCAGTGGGCGGATCGTCACTTGGACACTTTCAGGGGAATTGCAGAGTGCCGCAAGAACCTGCTGCAGAAGTTTAGTTTGACGGAGCGGATGATTTACGATTCGACGTTTACCATTCATGCGACAGCCGCAATGGAAGAGTACCTTGTTCGATTGTGTGGCCACATGGGTGATGGTCCGCATGCAGCTTTGGAAGGTCGAGGCATGTTCCGTCGGTGGGCTCACGTTTTTGGTAAAAGTCAAGTGTTGTGTGTAGATGTGGAAGACCAGAACTCTAGAATGAACTGGGTGCTCGACCGGATTGCAGCGCATCTGGGCGTTGATCGAAAAGGTTTCACTGATCAGCCTAGTGCCCACAAGCGCCTCAACGCCTCGTTCGACATTCTTGCGCGGAACCAGATGCGCTACGGCTCACAAGCGGTCAAGGAGATGTGGGGCAGCATCGCGGAGATCCAGGCCATAGATCGTGATAGTTTGACGTTAGAAGACCTGCGCTTATTCTCAGAGTTGTGCGGTCAGTGATCGCGCTCTTGTTTCACCCGCACTCCTCTCTTGCCGCCCCCCTCAGCCCTGGCCAGCCCTGGCCACTTCCACTTTCACTGACTTTCGAACTTCCCCAGCTTCACTCGTCACGCGTCGCCAGCGCGCACGTCTTAGGAGGTGTTTGCTTCTGAAGGCCTCGCGCGGCGCGTGATAGTAGTGTGGTCTAGTCCACATCAGGGGGCCTCCATAATTTCCTCATTAGCTCCTTGCGGCCAGTGAATGTGGGCTCTCGAGGCCCATTCGCCAATGCGGAGGGAGAGAGTTGCATAACAGGCAGGTCGGGAGCTTGCGGCCGAACAACAGCGTGAACATCCTCTTTCCGAGGTCCGCGCGGACCTCCGACAGTTTATGTCTATGCCGTCGTTGTTATTCCTCTACAGTCGGGCCGCTGAGAAAAAAAAACAAAAAATGAGCGACGTATAACATCGGGTCCAATTTCGCCAACACTCGCGCGCAAGCTGTCCGTGCAGGGTCGCGCGTGAGCGCCCTCGCTTCCAGTCGCAGACTTTCGGTGGCGAGCGAGGGGGGAGTGCGAAAGAGAAGGCCTTCTCAGTCGGCGGCGGGCCTCTCAGAGGCCCTCGCGCCTTCTGAGAGGTTCTCTCTGTCTCTGGGGAAGGCTTAGAACACTTCTCAGAAGGCTGGCGGCCTTCCGAGCCTTCTGAGAAAGCCCGCCCTTCCTCGCTCCCCCCCGGGGCTCGCCGCCAACACTTGGGCTCAGGGGGGGCCAGGCTGGTTGTCGGGCCGTTCCTCCGATTTCAGGTCAGGGAACCTAATCTGGATGGGGCGGCAATCATCGCCCCCCCGTTTGGATCCGCTGGGGGGGTTGGGCACGTGCTGTCGGAACGGGTGGAGGGGGGGTTGGAGGAGGAGGAGGAGGAGGAGGAGGAGGAGGAGGAGGAGGAGGAGGAGGAGGAGGAAGCGGCGGCGGAGGAGGAGGAGGAGGAGGAGGAGGAGGAGGAGGGGGATGATGATGATGATGATGATGATGAGGAGGAGGAGGAGGAGGAGGAGGAGGAGGAGTAGGAGCTCGGGGCCGGTTCTTCGTCCCGAGCTGTTTTTTGACGCTCCCTGGGTCCGGCGAAGGCCCCCGGAGGCCGAAAGCGGCCGCAAACCTAATGTTGTTCCCTTCTTCCTCTTCTTCTTCTTCTTCGTCCTGTTCTTCATCTTCTTCTTCTTCTTCTTCTCCTTCTTCTTCTTCTTCTTCTTCCTCCTCAGGACGCGAGCACGTCTGGTCGAGGGGGTGCGCCGTGGCGTGCAGCGTATGCCGAGCCCCTCCGAGCGAGGGCATCTCGCCGCGCTGCCCCCCTCCCCCGCGCCGCGGGAGGGTGGGAGGGGGGGGGAGGCCGAGAGGTTGACACCACCACCAATCGACCAGGCGTAAGAGTGACCCTTCGCCGGAGTGACCTGTGGTGCGGGCCCAATGGGGTCCCCCGATCGCCAATCGCGATGTGATGGGAGCGTCTTGCGCGACGGGGGTTGGTCCCCCCGTGGCCCGTGGCCCCCAAGAAGCCGCGCACCAGAGGTCACTCTTACCCAGGGTCACTCTTGCATGTAGTCGACACCAGTATTGGCTGTGTGCCTCCACCACCGAGGGAAGGTGCTCCCGATCTCGGTGATGGTGGTGATCTTTTGGCGTCCTACCCAGACCTCCTCGCGTCGTGAAAACATCACGAGGGGAGGTTTTTCGCTATTTTCGGCCCCTGGGGGTCTTTACCGGGCCCTGGGAGCGTCAAACATCGACTCGGGATGCAAAACCGGTCCTGGGGAAGGGGTCCAGACCTCTGGGGGTCGACGTCGTGAACAAAATCACGACGTCGGAGGTCTGGGTAGGTGGCCGACGTGTTGCCACCAGCACTGGGCCCTGGGGTCATCCTCCCCTGGCTGCGCCATGCCCGTGCGCTGGTGCCGGTGCCCGCTTCCAGGCCTCCCACGGGGGCGGGCGCTCCCCGTGCGGCCTCGGCTGCGGCTCCGGCCGGCTGGCACGCGCCCCTCCCCGGCGCGATGGCCGCCGGGGCGTCGGGCCCCCGGCAGCGCCCGCCCGCCGGAGCCAGCGCCAGCGGGGAAGTCTCAAGTCGGGCATGTCCCTCCACAGGAGGAGTGTTCCATATAATGGTGCAGTACGTCGTGTTTCGCTTTTGTCTTTCCACAAAGAAAACACCAGTCCGCCTGCAGGAGGACATGCCCGACCCAAGGGAAGTCAGGGGTGGGGCCTCACCGACCCTATAGCAAACCATTCCCCTCCGCGACGTCCCCCTCGCCCCGCCTCAAGGCGTATGTATGCGGCCGGAGGGGAGCTCGTACTCGAAGAAGAAAAATGGCACAAACATACACTTTTGGCGCTCCGCGCGGATTTCTTGGATCCGCGATGGGTTCTTGGCCGATTGGTCGGCTCGCTGGCTCGCTAGATGCCATGTCAAACATTTTGTTGCCAGGAGCGGTTGCTTGGCTGATTGGTTGGGTGGCTGGTCGGTTGGTGGAGTGGTTGGTTGGTTGGTTGGTTGGGTGGCTGGGTAGCCAGTTGCCCGTTTGCCCGGGTGGTTGGCCATTTCTCCCCTCCGTTCCCCATCCCTTGCTCCCCCTTCCTCCCTCCTTACTCCTCTTCCCCCCCGACTTCTCTATACCTTCCTCCCTTCTGCTCCCTCCCTGTCTTCCTCCTCCTTTTCGCCTGCAATTTGCTGCAATGCAATATATTGTAACTGCAATGCAAATGCAACGCAGTGCAATGTAATGCAACGCAATGCAACGCAACGCAATGCAATGCAACGCAACGCAATGCAAATGCAACGCAATGCAATGCAACATGATGCAATGCAATGTAGCGCAACGCAGTGCAATGCAACGCAGTTGAAAGCACTACGATGCAACGCAATGCAATTTACGTGTGGCGATGCAATTCACAGTAACGGAATGTGCGTCTCGTCACGTGGCAGCACCGTGGGGCCGACAAACACGTGTTCGACTCCAGTCGCCACGCGGCAACGCCTTGGCGGGCGACAGAGTACTATTCCACTGCTCGTCACGTGGCAGCGCCGCGGGGGCTGAGAAACATACTACTCCAGTCTATTCGCCACGGGGCACCGCCTGGCGGGGGCGAGACAACAGATACGAATCCACTACATTCGTTACGTGGCAACGCCGCTGGAGGCCGCACCAAGTACTCACCCACTCCACCTGCCACGTGGCGATGCCTGGAGGCGCGAAGAAACAGTCCCCCGTCCACTACTTGTCGCTTGCCAGCGCTGCGGGGGCCGAACGAGCTTAACTGTTCTACTCTATTCGTCAGGTGGCAACGCCGCGGGGGCCGAGCAACAATTCAATGCCACTCCACCCGCCAAGTGGCAACGCCCCTAGGCGCGAAGGAATCGTATTCCATTCTAGTCGTCACGTCGCAGCGCCGCGGGGGCCAAAGCAAACGTTCTGCCACGAGGACGACGACGAGGATTACGACGAGAACGACGACGATGATGACGAGGGTCATGGAAGCGAACAAACGTTCTATCCTGTCCTCATCCCCGTCCTTCTCCCTCCTCCTTCCTCATCACTTCTCCATCCTCCCTCCCTCCTCCTTCCTCCCCCTTCCTTCGTCCTCCTCCCCTTTCCTCCCTCACTCCTCCTTCCTCCCCTTCTCTCTACCCCCCTCCCTTCTCCTCCCTCCTGTCCTCCCCCTCGCCCGCAATTGATTGCAGTGCAATGTGCTGCAAATGCAATGCAAATGCCACGCAGTGCAATGCAATGCAGCGCAACAGATCCGTTGGTTGGCCGGTTGGTCGGCTGGTGGCTGGTCGGTCGGCAGGTCCATTGGTTGGTTGGCTGGGTGGCCGCCGCGTGGCAGCGTTTGGGCGGGCGGCAGCATACTGTTACACTCCTGCTCGTCACGTGGCAGCGCCGCGGGGCCGGCAAGCAACACTGTTCCGCTCCCACTCGCCACGTGGCAACGCCCGGCGGGGACCGGCAAGCAGGTGGTTCCACTGTTCCTCACGCGGCAGCGCTTGGAGGCGCAAAGGCAAAGTGCTCCGCTCCAGTCGTCGCGTGGCGGCGCCGCGGGGGCCGAGCAACAAAATCATTATGCCACGACGACGGCGAGGACGACGACGAGAACGGCGACGGCGATGAGACGACAACGACGATGACGAGGGCCAGGGAGACGAAAAACAGATCCTGTCCTCCTCGTCCTTCTTCCTTCTCCCCTGCCTTCTTCCTCCTCCTCCTCCTGCTCCTCCCTCCTCCTTCCTCAATCTTCCCGTCTTCCTACCTCCCTCCTTTCCCTCTCCTCCCCCCCTTCTCCCTCCTCACTCCTTCCTCCCTTCCTCCCCTCCTCTCTACCTTCCTACCATGTATTTCCTCCTGTCCTCCTCCCCCTTGCCCGCCATTTACTGCAATGCAATGTATTGCAAATGCAGTGCACATGCAACACAGCGCAATGCAATGCAACGCGCCAGGATGCAATACAATGCTATCCAATGCAATGCAATGCAATGCAATGCAATGCAAGGCAATGCAATGCAATGCAATGCAAGGCAATGCAATGCAATGCAATGCAATGCAATGCGATGCGATGCAATGCAATGCAATGCAATGCAATGCAATGCAATGCAAATGCAACGCCATGCAAGTCCGTGCAATGCAACACAACGAAATGCAACGCAGCACAGTGCGCTCGTTTGCACGTCTGCACGCCCGCCCGCCCGCTTGCCCCTCCGCGCGCGCCGCCCATGCACTCCATTCCATTCCATTCCATTCCATTCCATTCCATTCCACGCCATTGCATCCCGCCCACTCCTCCCTTCCATTCCATTCCGTCCATTTCATTCCAGTCCGTCACACTCCTCCCTTCCCCCGCCCCGCGGTCATTCTAGGTCGAAAATATGTGTTATTCCGGGCCCAGCTGTGTGGGACATCCTCAAAACATGCACCGGGAAGGGTTGGTTGGCTGGTTGGCTGGCTGGCTGACTGGTTGGCTCCCCGGTTGCCGGGGGAGCCGGCGTCCAGAGGCCAAATTTGGCACACCCCTCACATGGATCTCGCGCCCAGGGGCCTGAAAGAATTTTCGAGACCGCAGATACAATTTTGGTTTGATTCGTGTTAAGACATTCTTTGACCGGAACTCGAATCGAAGAAGAAAACCCGCCATAAACATAATTTTTCGGCGCTGCGCGCGGATTTCTTGGATCCGCGCTGGGCCCTGCCCGGCGGCGCCTCTGGCGCCGCGGGCGCGCTCCGCGCGCCAAGGAGGGGGTCCAGCGCAGATCCGAGAAATCTGCGCGGATCGCCAAAAGTTTACGTTTATAGCGTTTGTTTGTCTTCTTTCCCTTCTTCTTTTTCTTCTTCTTCTTCTTCTTCTTCTTCTTCTTCTTCTTCAATGAGCTTTTTTTGACTCGCGACTGCGGCAGCCGCCGTGCTCCATGCCGCGGAAGGCGCGGAGCAAAGCCGGAGCGGCCCGAGCCTCCGCGCGGGAGCGGCCCGAGCCTCCGCGCGGCCCGCCTGGGCAGGCCGCTCTGCGGCCGTGCGGCGAGGGCGCTGCGGGCGCCCCGCCGGGCACCACGGCGGCGCCACCATCTCCGCGGCCCGCTGGAGGAGCAGGAGGAGGAGGAGGAGGAGGAGGAGGAGGAGGAGGAGGAGGAGGAGTGGACGGGTGACAAGGGCAGCGGCCCGGGGGTCGCCTGGCGCGGGCTCGCTGGCCCCGGCCAGGCGACGGCCAGGTCCGCGTTGGCGCTGGGGGGCGAGGACGGGAGGAGAAGATGATGGGTTGTTCTCCACCACCAGAAGTTGGAAGGGGAGGGGGTCCTCCTCCTCCTCCTCCTCCTCCTCCTCCTCCACCTCCTCCTCCTCATCCTCCTCTCCGTCCTCCTCCTCCTCGTCCTCCTCCTTCCGCCCTCCAACTTATGGTGGTGGTGGTGGAAAGCAGGCACATCAGAAGAAGGGGGAGGTGAAGAAAGCAGACAGGACGCGGGCCAGCACGCTCGAATCATAACTTCTGTCGGCCTCGCCAGCACGCCCCCTGCTGTGAGTAGGGAGCTGGCAGGTCCCGGCAGCAACGCCGTCAACAACGCTTGCAGCACGACTTGCGCCAGAAGCGAGCCAGCTCGCCCTGAGCGAGCCTCCTCACATGCCTGCGCTGCGAGGTGCACCAATAGCGAGCCGCCACTGTCCGAGTGAGCTTCCAGCCAACAACGGGTCGGCCGGCCGTCCCCGCGCAGCCAGGTCCGTGGACTCGCCCAGCGCTGTCGCGGCCCTTCGCCGACGTCCGTCGTCTTCGGTCGTCGTCGTCGCCGCCGTCGCCTTCGTCGCCGCTGCCGTTGTCACCGCCATCGTTGTCGTCGTCGCCGCCGACGTCGCCGTCGCCGTCGTCGTCGTCGACGTCGCCGTCGCTGCTCTCGCTGTCGCCGCCGCCGCCGCCCCCCTCGGCTGAGCCCCTGGGCGCGCGGCGCCCTGGCAGCCGAGGCCGCGCCGCGATGACCTGTACGGCCTGCTCGGGGGCATGGACGGCACGGCACCGCGGGGGGCTTGCGGACAGCTCCCGTCGGGGCCCACGTGCGGTCGGGAACGCTGCCCTGGCGTGTCGCGCCGCCGGTTTTTGGCCCGCCGCGCTGCGGCGCGGCATGCTATCCACATCTGGGCCCCCCGGCGTCAGCGTCCTGAGCTTTTCCCATCCCCCCGCCCCGCGGAGCGAAGCGCCACGCTGTCCGCACGAAGGCCGCAGCGTGTCGCCAGGGCCGTCGCCGCGACACGCTGAGCAAAAGTTCCGGACCGCAACGTGCAACGTGATGGGGTCGGCGCTACAACGGGGGGTCAGCCAAGCCCTTCTGGGATCCTTTGGCTGGCCCGGATTTGGGAGCCCTGTAGGGCCCGCTCGCGCCAAAAGTTTATGTCAATGCAGTTTTTGTTTCTGGGGAAGGAGTCGAGACCTCCGGGGGGCTTACGGAACGAATCTCGATGCGGAGGGTGTGCGATCTTGTTCCTCACAGGCCTCGGGAAGCAGTTAGCCACCAGAGACAATCATTCCGCCTCCGACGCCAGGGCTGGGGCCCGAGACGGTGTCCCTCCCCTGCCGTTGGGCTCTGTGAGGCGTTGATCCATTGGCCATTGAGGCATATCTGCATCCTAGACTTGTTTGCCTCTGCATGCCTGGTGACTTTGCAGCCGCATTTGAAATCGCATTTGCACTTGCGTTCGCAACGCTCGAATGGGCTCCCATTTCATTAGAGTTCGGAGGAGTTTCTGCTTCGTTCCTGGTTGCCTCCCAAACCTGTTGTATGGACGAGTGCTCTTTGTTTTGTTTACCGATGGCTTCGTGGTAGCCTGTTGTGATGTGATATTCCCGAGCAGCGTTTCACCAGAGGGTTCTGATAGAGGTAGACAGGGACCAGAGAAGAGTCCCACAGGGGGGAACGGGGAGCCTTACATTGCCTGGTCCGACAGCCGTATTATCATGTAACAGTCGAAGGGGTAGGTGACCGAAGACAATCGGTGACCGAAACCGTGCCCGAAGTTGTGACCGAACACGTTGTGTGACCGAAAACGTTACCGAAATTGGAAATCGTTTTGAATTGAACCAAACATTTGGGTCACACTCGGGCGCGGCCAGAAAACTTCGGGCGCCAGTTTCGGTTTAACTCGGGCTAATCTTAGGGCACAGTTTCGGTCACGACGCCTCCCTGATAGAGACGGGGCTACGTGAATTCATTCAGGGGTCGTGCTCTCGTCTCAATGTCAGCTGCATTTTTTGTCCGGACGGCCGCGACGACGATCCTTGGTGCAAAATGCATTTAAGGTGCGCGTGGCCGCCGTGCTCTCATCCTTGGCTCCGTGCACACGGCCGTGCCCTAACCCCCGACCTCCTACTCCTCAGCCTGCCTCTTCACCTTTGCTGCTGGAAGAGTGTTTTTTTCTGTTTTGTTTATCCGTAAGGGCTTCGCCCCCTGCCGTCGACCCCCTCTCGGAGAATGCGCTATGAAAGAGCTATGTCATGAGGCCTGGGCGCTGTCGTGAAGCAGTATCGGAACTTCATGCGAGACCGACCTGTAATGAGCAAAACCAATAAAGATGACCAGAGAGGTTATCACACCTGGCGATTGGTAGCGTCGTGACCCTGCCGATCTGCGTGAGTGGTGCCGCCGAATTTCAGAAATGTGGTAAATCCTTTATGTTTTTGGACCCTGACCCCGCCGATCTGCGTGAGGGGTGCCGTCGAATTTTAAACATGTTGCAAATCCTTTGTGTTTTTGGACCCTGACCCCGCCGATCTGCGTGAGGGGTGCCAGCGAGTTTCAGAAATGTTGCAAATCCTTTGTGTTTTTGCACCCTGACCCCGCCGATCTGCGTGAGGTGTGCCATCGAATGTCAACATGTGGCAAATCCTTTGTGTTTTTGGATCCTGACCCCGCCGATCTGCGTGAGGGTGCCAGCGAGTTTCAGAAATGTTGCAAATCCTTGTGTTTTTGCACCCTGACCCCGCCGATCTGCATGAGGCGTGCCGTCGAATTTTATGCATGTGGCAAATCCTTTGTGTTTTTGCACCCTGACCCCGCCGATCTGCGTGAGGGGTGCCGCCGAATTTCAGAAATGTGGCAGATCTCTTGTGTTTTTGGACCCTGACCCCGCCGATCTGCGTGAGGGGTGTGACCGAATTTCAGAGATGTGGCACATCCTTTGTGTTTTTGGACCCTGACCCCGCCGATCTGCGTGAGGGGTGTCAATTTTTACCCACCCTAGCAATTCAGACAATACGATTTGGGCGTGGTGAAAATGCTTGTTTTGGGCCTCCCCCCCTCGCGCGGTCCATCAAGGAACAGTAAGCAGCAAGAAGTCAACCAGGAACAGTACGGAGCAAGACGCAGAACTGTAACAGTGGAAATTGGAAGCTGCAACTGGTACAGGAAACTGCGAACCTCCGGCCTACAGCCTGGTGGCGCCACAAGGGGGCCGGCGGATTTGTTGTGTGTCTATTTGGCCAACTATTCTTGTTCAGTTCGGGATTCCTGTCTGGACGGCGCAGTTTTCCTATCCAGCATCCTACGCGGTGTCGTAGTTTTTCGTGGGCATTGCTTCCCCCATCCTCCCAAAGCTCGGATCGTGAGCGGACTGCTCACGTTCGGGAAACAGACAACGACATACACATCATCTTTGGGAGGTCCGCGCGGATTTCTCGGATCGGCCGCGGAGCGCGCCTGGGGCGGCGCTGGACGCGCCGCCAAGGGGCCCCAGCGCCGATCCGAGAAATCAGCGCGGACCTCCGAAAGTTCATGCTCATGTCATCGTTTGTTGCCCCACAGGTGAGCGGCACAGGTGAGCGGCACAGGGCGGTGTCGAGGGGTGAAGGGGTCCCACGTCGCTCGCCACAACTCGACGCATCGCAGGCGACGATAGGGGCGAATAGCTCAGGGGAGAGCAATACACGTTTCCAGAGCCTCCGATCGCCCATGTCTTTGACGAGGCTCCCGGGCGAATACATAGAATCGGCGCCAAACCGACACTAACACTATGTGTGCGTCGCCCCCCCTGGGGCTGACGCCCGCGCCGAGAAATCTTACAGTACAAGCTCCGTGGCGGGTGCTTCCTGGCCATACCGCTCGGGAAACGATGCGCTACAAGCTGCTTGTACTGCAATCGTCTGGCCTGACGCACGCCTCCGAGGAGGAGACCCATATGCAGCCCGCCCCTGGCCTACAGTCAACCCGCATAGTTAGGATGGGCAACCTTCCCAAGGGTACCCTTGCATTCTTGCCTCCTCGGTCCACCCTAGGCCGCTTTCGTTGGCCGCGCCCCGCTCGGAAAGCTTCGACATGGGCGTCCAGGCCCCTTGCATCCTTATCGCGCATCTTTAAGATACGGGCCGGCCGTATCCGCCCGCCCCTCGTCCGCCCCGAACGCAGGCATCGCCGGGGCACCTGCGACAGGTCCACGCCGCCGTGCTGCCCCCGCCCGAGCCGATGCCGGGGGCGGCGGCGCTGCCAGGAGGGCGGCCGCTCCCCCCGCCGGTCGGAGTCTCCGCGGCCGCGTCACCGGCCGTGCCCCCGTCCGCGGGGCACCGGGCGCGCGCGGGGGGCGCGCCCATCGTTTTCTCCTCCCTCTTCTTTCGTATGCTCGCCTACCTCCTCCTCCTCCTCCTTCTCCTACTGCTCCTCCTCCTCCTCCTCCTCCTCGTCGTCGTCGTCCTCCTCCTCCTCACTCCTCCTCGTCCTCCTCCTCTCAAGTCCTCCGCATTCCTCCTCCCATTCCCGCCTCCTCCTGCTCCTCCTCCTCCTCCTCCTCCTCTTCCTCGTCGTCCGTAGCCATTTTGGCTCAAGATGTTGAGTTCCGCAGGGGAACAAGTGGATACCGCTAGTCCGCGGCAGTGCCAGGGCTGTTCAGCCCGACATCCTCTCTCAGGACCTGGGCGGGGAGCTCCGCGCTGCCGTCTTGAGTCTCGCCGCTCTTAGTGCTTGCAGGTGCCCATGGGCGGCAGTCGTCATGAACGGAAGTCCCGCAAGGCAAAGGAGGAGCGGCGGGCGCCGACGGCCTCATCACGTTCTGCCTCGTCCACTCCACGTGCCTCTTCTCCATCGGCGCGGCTGCGTGATCTTCGGGATTCTCACGGTGCTCCTGACATCCGTGAACGTGATCGCATTCGGACGCGGGACCGATACCTCCCCGCCGCCAGTGACGCATCGGCGGAGGGCTCTCGGCGGTCCCGCAGTGCTGGCCGTGGCGCCTCTCCCGTCATCGTCGACAGCTCTTGTGGTACGCAGCATTACGGCATCGCCACCCCCATCCCAGCTGACGAAGGGCAAGTCCCAGCTGGGGGTGCGAAGGCCTCGCCCTCTCCGTCCCCATGGCCGACTCCACCAGCTTCGAGGCCGTGGGCGACTCCTGGCACCCCCGCTGAAGGCCGTGCCCCTGATCCCTGGGCTACGGCAGCTATGTCCAATGGAACCACACCGCATGATGGAGGCAGCAATGTTGCCCAATCTGTGGACCCTTTCCAGGCGGAGGCCATGCAGGCCTTCACACAGAAGGCGATGGAGACCATCCTGGCCCAGCTTCCTGCCGCACTCAGCGCGGCCACAGTCCCGCTCATGGAAAAGTATGAGGAGCGCTTCAATCAGCAGCTTCGACGTGTTGATGGGGAGGTCCATGCACAGCGTGCGCGTTCAGACCTTCTCGACAGCACCGTGGCGGGCCTCGCTCATCGTCTATCGCATTTGGAGAAAGAGCTGGACCTCGCAAAGACGAAGCCACGTCCTCCGGTTGTTCCGAATCCAGAGTGGGACAGGGACGTGGACCTCACCATCCTCACAGTGCGGGCATCATCGGCCGTCGCTAAGAACGCTGTGGCGGCGGCATTGGCTCCTTGGCTCACCGAAGCGAATGTCCCTCTTGGGGATGGGGTGGAACTTCACGGAGATGATGTCGCCAAATCCTTCACTCTCGCATTTCAAGGCCCCATGGAAGCTACCCGTTCTTCGAGAAGGAGTCAGGCCCAGCAGCAGCTCCGTCTGCCAAACGGGTCATGGCGCGCATTCCATGTTGATGTGGGCACTGAGTCAGTACCGATCCATATTTCAGCGGACAAGAACAAGAAGATGGTTGCCACAGAGATTGCATGCAAGAAGCTGCAGAGGTGTCTCGCCGACCGTGGCATCCGCACCTTCCTCGACAAGGATAATGGTCAGCTCATGGCCAAGTGGGGGCCCTTGGCGCGAGTGCTCCCATTACCTGCGAGCAGAACGCCGAAAGTGGAATGGAACCTCTCTGCACTTGCCGACAATTGCTTGTCCAGGGAGGAGGCCAATGAGCTGGTTCGCCAGGTCTTCGACACACGTGAAGTACGGTGGAGTGGGTAACGAGATGTTTGGCGTGGGATTTCTAGCTTTCACGACCTGGAATTCAGGGGCCCTGTTACACTACAGACCAGCGATTTTGAGCAGGAAGCTCAGCTACCTGAGCAATCTGTTGGGTGCTGGCAAAGTAGTGGCGATACAGGAGATCCACGGTGGTGAATATGCTATGGAGGAAGCTCTTCAGAGGATTCACTGTACTTCGCATTCATGCTTCGTTTCTGAGTCTGAGATGCCGCGGACTGGAGGCGTTGCCACACTCGTTCCCAAGGACCCACGCGTTCGAGCCAAGGGTAAGAGCTTTGTCGCTGGTCGGGTTCTTCTGGTTACTATCCATAATTCAGCGGTCGACTTCACCATCTACCACTGGAACGTGCACAATTTTGCCATCGACGCTGCTGGCCTGAAGGAGATCCAAGCATGTATAAAATCTCAGCTTCGGCGAGTGCGGGATGATCCGCTGAAGTACACGGTGATCCTCACGGGCGACTTCAACATTCCTGCGAAGCCCATCGAGCACCATCGGGGAGAGGATCACACCAGTACTCCATGTTCGTCAGGCCGTGGGGGGCAGGATTCAGCCCTGCAAAGTCACAACCCCACGGCCACATGCACTCCGAGTTCGGCTGCATCGAGGACCACACCGGCCACCTGCACACCACCTTCTGGGCCATGTTCTCCGAGTCCGTCCTCTTCTTCGGCTTCGTCTCCTGCATCCTCCCAACCACCCGCAGCCCCCCTCAGTACCGCGTCGACGGGGGCTTCACAGGGGAGGCAAGCCACACCTGCTTCGTTGCAGGCTGATGGTGCCCAGCGGGGCGACTCCACCCTGCGGGTTGGCTCTACTCGGGCGTCCCGTCCTGGCGACTCGAGCTGGCTGAAGATCTTCAGGGAAATGACGGAGCTCGCCTCGGAGGCGCCAACCCACTGGCACGCCTCGACTGCATGCGAGTCCAAAATTGATCGTCTCTTTGTCGCCTCACCGCCATGGCTCCTGTGTCAAACTGCTCAACTAGTATCGGTCCGTGATGAACCTCATGAGTTGGCCCATCGGGGTATTTCTGACCACTCGCCCCTGGAGGTCGTCTGGCGCCCACGGGATCACTCCAGAACGAACCGACAGAGGCCCCTCCCGCGTTGGGTGTACAAAGACAAGATTTACGCTCAGCTAGTCTCCCACATGGAATCCCAGGTGGGCATAGAGGATCTCGCTTTCGACCCGCCGCGCATGCTCGCTGCTGCTACCGCTGTCCGGCAAGCTGCTGGGCTTCTTGCACGCAATGCCATCTGCCGTGCTGCACCATCATCACTGACCTCTCGGGCTATGATTTCTCGTTCTGTTGCGCGATGTGTCTGGCGTAACGACGCCCGTCTTGCCCGAGTTCTCCTATTCCAGCACCCCTGGACGCAGAGTCTCATACGTGTAGACGGTGAGGTTGTGTCCTTCATTGATCATGGTGGCTTCCATGATCTCCATAGTTTGTGGCAGCAGCAAGAAGCAGAATCCAGAAGGAAAGCTCTCGAGTCAGAGATCAACCAATCGTCGTCGAGCACGGTCAGGATTCGTCTGGCTGGGCGTCGTCGTGCTATCATTCGGTCTGCACAGTTATGGAATCCGCTGTGTCGGCGTAAGTACTTAGCATCGGTCAAGGCGAATGAGATGATCTCGGTTTCGGAGATGCTGGCGGGTGGCCCACTGACGTCGGAACATGCACCTCCCTCCCAAGCCCCGATGGTGGACGCATTGGCCTCATATTGGGGCCCCGTGTTCTCCAAGACCCACTCCGTCCCCTCTGTCGCCAAGAAATACATAGACCGATTCAGCAGCTCAGAGGACTTCTCAGAGGTTCGCCCACCCATCCTTCGAGATGTGGAACGTGCGCTGAAACAGTCGAACTGGTCCGCTCCTGGCCCCGATGGGCTTCACTATGCGGCCTGGAGGCGTGGTTTGGGGTCGAGGGTCCTTCTCGAAGTTCTTCGCTGGATTGCTCTTGGGAACTACATGCCCTCCAATTTCACTGCGTTGCTGGCCGTCTTTCTCCCTAAGGACCCCAAGGCCCCTTCTCATGATCCCGACGATGGTGGTGTTGCACGGGCCCCTGGTGACACCCGCCCGCTCGGGCTCAAGAACTCCTCGAATAAAGTGGTGTGCAGTGTGCTGAACCAGACTATGAGCTGGGTGACGCAGAAGATCGGGGCTCCATCCCAAAGGGGCTTTATTCGGCGGCGAATTTTTCTGGATAATATTGTCGATTTGGACCTCTACGCTCGATCGGCCAGTATCATGTCTACTGCGTCTTCCCAGGCACCGTCGTTGATCGCGTTTGACTTTGCCCAGGCCTTCCCGTCGGTATCCCAGGAGTGGCTATTCCAATGTCTCGCCCGACTCCGTATTCCTGCCCCTCTGGTCCGCGCTCTTCGCTCCCTCTACCACTGCACTCCATGCTACTTCGCCGGCGACTCTCCGACGTACCTATACCACATGAACTCAGGGGTGCTTCAGGGCTGTCCGCTGAGTGGTTCGCTCTATGTGATCGCGAGCAACCCGTTCCTTCTGGACTTAGAACACTGTCTAGTTGCACGTGGGCGTCTCTTGGGGGTGGTTCGTGCATGTGCGGATGATCTTGGGGCAGTCCTCTTCCACAACAGAGCGTATCCACGTTTGGCTCGAGTATTTCGACATGCTTCGAGGTTTGCTCAGCTACGACTTAAGCCTGCCAAATGCAATGTGATTCCTCTTCGTGACCCGTCTATGCCTGAGCACGGAACCCTACTTCGACACCAACTTGTGGGGGCCGACCCCGCATGGGCAGATTTCGCGATTGTTTCAGCGTGTACATATCTTGGATTTCAGATTGGGCCTGGAGCCACAGATGATAGTCAATGGTCGACTCCTGTTCTCAAGCATGCCACTCGTGCTACGGCAATCTCTTCGCAGGGTGCAGCTCTCTCCACGGCTGCCGCTCTTTATCGTCAGAGAGCTGCTCCCACGCTGTCGTACGTGGCCCAGCTGGTTCCTCTTTCTTGGAGGGTTGGGCAACAGCAGCGCTTTCTGCTGGCTCGCATCATGCGCACACCTGCCAGTATGCTTCGGACTGGTGACTGCTTCGCGCTAAGCACAGTGAACGGCCCGAAGTTCAGCTCTGTCTTCTGCGTTGCTGCTGCCGCACGGCTTCGAGCAGCTCTGATCACATGTTCGACATGGCGCGAGCAGCTGCAGCGACATCGGGATCTCCTCTGGGAATATGGCACGTTCTCCCAAGCTGCCAGTGACGTCTTGGCCCCGAGCTTCTGGATGGCACCACCTTTTGCCTGCCGCTTGGAAGAGGCAGCGAAGGGCTTCCCATCGTCCCAAGTGCTGAAAGAGGGAGGGCGAATGGCATTGAGTCTATGGGAAGGCGGCGACTCGTCCGTCCCCGCAGAGGTGATCGAGTTCTTCCGAGCCGAACCCAATCCTTGCCCGCCCCCATGGAGCCTCGCCCGTCGAGTTCCGGAGCCAGCTGAGGGACAAGGACTGCCACGTTCCCGAGCACCCAAGTGGCAGGCGGCCTTCACCGACATCTTCCAGCGTGCAGTCTTCCCTGACAGACTTCTAGAGCTGCTCTCCGCCCGCGTGCAGAAGCACTTTGGTATTCGGGGTGTGTGCTGGCCATCGGTCATCAGCCAATTGCAGCTAATGCCCGCATCTTGGGCCTTCATATGTGTGAGGTCGTACCTAGGGGGTTGGATCACTCACCGACGTATGCAACGTGAGGCATGGTGTATCTATGGTTGTGGCGGCCCAGATACTATGCGACATTATTTGATGGAGTGCCATCGGTGCCTACACTTCGGCGCCCTCACTCTTCGAGAAGATCTCCCAGGTGAGATTCGGCATCGACTCGGGCTGCGGGGGCCGACTCCTGCCGCTCTCATCGCTTGCTACCACCACTATCGGCTGATGGCGGCACGACACAGCTCCCCACCAACATACATGAGGGCGCTGGAGCTCGTCCCTGCTGCGCAGATCGCTCTGAGGCTCCCTCTTCGTGGACGACAGCAGCTGGCACTTCTTCGTCGTCCCACCCTTCGTGAGTCCATCGAGGCGGCCCGCGGAGACCTCGAGGAGGACGGCCCATCGTGTGAGGCTCGGGGCTCTGAAGCGATAGGTCTCCCATTGCTGGTGTCGCCTCACCCACCTCTCTCTCCGATCCCTCATGATCCCCCCTCTTTGCTCGGACTCGGTCGAGAGGACGAGCTCATCGAATTTCGTTTCATTGATTATGAGATGCCCCGCGACCCTAGTAGGGTCAGGGTAATCACTGCCGAAGAGCAGGCCTTGTATGCAAGCGGGCCTCAAACTCAGGCGCCGTCGGAGTCGACTCCTCTCCCCCCTTGTTCCCCTCGCTCCGATGACGCCTCGTCCCCGCCCCACCTCGCCCTCTTCCAATTCGTGGATTACGACATGCCTCGCAACTACGCTGCGATCAAGGTGATGTCTGCCGAGGAGCAGGCCCCCCTCTCAGGCCCCCTGGCAGGTGAAGTATGCCATCGTGAAGGCCCGTGCTGCGTGCTCTCGCAAGGAGAGAGGCAGGGAGGGCAGTGCAGATATGTGTAGAGCGGGACGTGGGACTCCTTCAGCTACGCTCCGCCTCCTCTTCCTCGTCGTCCTCCTCCTCCTCCTCCTCCTTCTCCTCACTCCTCCTCGCCCTCCTCCTCCCAAGTCCTCCGCATTCCTCCTCCCATTCCCGCCTCCTCCTCCTCCTCCTCCTCTTCCTCGTCGTCGTCGTCCTCCTCCTCCTCCTCCTCCTCCTCCTCCTCACTCCTCCTCGTCCTCCTCCTCTCAAGTCCTCCGCATTCCTCCTCCCATTCCCGCCTCCTGCTGCTCCTCCTCCTCCTCCTCCTCCTCCTCCTCTTCCTCGTCGTCGTCGTCCTCCTCCTCCTCCTCACTCCTCCTCGTCCTCCTCCTCCCATGTCCGCCTTCTGCTGCTCTGCTGTTGCTCCTCCTCCTGCTGCTGCTGCTGCTCCTCCTCCTCCTCCCCCTCCTCCTGGCCCCTCTCTCCTTCTCCGTCTTCTTCCCTCCGCTTTCTAGTCCTCCCCCTCCCCATGCTCTTCCTTGATTATTTTCCGCGGCGGCTAGGGCAGACGTCTCCTTTGCCGTCGCGCCAGCACTGCAGCCGATGTGTTGTAGAGACGGTGTTTCAGTTCAATTCGGTTCTCCCGTCTCTCCCTGGTGGTCCCGCTTCTGCTCGATCTCATTGCCCCGCTTCTCCTGAACTCGCAGGCCTGCAGCTACGATACTCAACGCATCACGAATATGCTGCTGCTGATGATGATGATGATGATGGTGGTGGTGATGGTGATGATGATGATGATGCTGATGATGATGATGATGATGATGATGATGATGCGGCTGCGGTGATGACCATGATGATGCTGATGATGCTGCCGATGATGATGATGCTGCTGATGCTGATGCGGATGGTACTGATGATGGTGGTGATAATGATGATGCTGCTGACGGTGATGAGAATACTGATGCTGACGATGATGCTGTTGATGATGATGATGGTGAGGATGAGGATGAGGATGCGGATTATTATTATCAGGATGAGGAGGATTCCAGTGGTGGAGATGCTGATTATGATGCTGAGGATTGATGACGGCGAAGACGATTATGATGTTGATGATGTTGTTGCTGTTGATGATGATGGTGGTGATGCTGCTGCTGCTGCTGCTGATGATCGGGATGATGATCATGATGTTGATGATGCTGCTGTTGATAATGATGATGGTACTGATAACGATGATGCTGCTGATGAGGATGAGGATGAGGATGCTTACTATGAGGATGAGGAGGATGCCAGTGATGGAGATATTGATTATGATGCTGAGGATTGATGACGGCGACGACGATGCTGATGATGTTGATGATGTTGCAGCTGTTGACGATGGTGGTGATGATGCTGTTGCTGCTGCTGATGAGGATGGTGATGACGATGACGATGACGAGGCTGATGATGATGATGATGATGATGATGATGATGATGATGATGATGATGATGATGATGATCCGTAAGGGCTTCGCCACCTGCCGCCGGCCCATTCTCTCAGATAATTGGGTATGCAAGAGCTATGTTGTGAGGCCTGGGCGCCGTCGTGAAGCAGCGTCGGAACTCCGAATAGGGGCCATTTGAGAGATCCAGGTGCGTATTGTGTAATTTACAGTATCGGACACGCGAATATCGCGCAATTTACGAGGAAGTCACTTGCGAATTACGAGGAGCGCGAACACAGCGTACTTTGCGAGGAAGGAGGAGGGGGAGGCGGAGGAGGAGGCGAAGGAGGAGGAGGAGGAGGAGGAGGAGGAGGAACTGTGTTACATTTAAGTTAGTTGCGCGGCTGTACGCGCAAAACGGCGTAATTCTCTTACGCTGTGCTACGAGGAACGAGGCCATCAACCCTCGCAAATTACGCTGTGAAAAGGAGGAGGCGGAGGAGGAGGTGGAGGAGGAGGAGGAGCTGTGTTACGTTTAAGTTAGTTACGCGGCTGTACGCGCAAAACGGCGGCGTAATTCTCTTACGCTGTGTTACGAGGAACGAGGCCATCAACCCTCGCAAATTACGCTGTGAGGAGGAGGAGGCGGAGGGGGCGAAGGAGGAGGAGGACGAGGAGGAGGAGGAGAAGGAGGAGGAGGAGGAGGAACGAGGAACGATGAGCGAGGAAAGAGGCGGAGGAGGAGAAGTAGGAGGAGGAGGAGGAACAGGAGGAGAAGGAGCAGGAGGAGGAGAAGTAGGAGGAGGAGGAGGAACGAGGAACGATGAGCGAGGAACGGGGAACAAGGAGGAGGAGGAGGAGGAGGAGGAGGAGGAGGAGGAGGAGGCAAAGGCGGAGGAGGACGAGGCCCGGGCCGGGCCGCCGAGGACGGGCCATGCGGGGCCTGGGGCGCTCGGGCCCGGCGAACTTGGCGCCGGCGTACCAGGCGAGCCGCTGGGGCCGCGAGGAGGGCGCACCCACCGCGGCGGCGCTGGGGCCCGCGCTGCTGTTGCAGCCGCCCGCTTCGCTCAGGCCCGCCCGTCCCCCGCTGGTCGTCGTCTTCGTCGTCGTGGTCGTGGTCGTCGTCGTCGTCGTTGTCGTCGTCCTCGTCGTCGTGGTCGTCGTCGTCGTCGTGATTGTGATCGTCGCCGTCGTCGTCGTCGTCGTCGTGGTCGTCGTCGTCGTCGTCGTCGTCGTCGTCGTCATCCGTCGTCGTGTGTCGTTGTGGTCGTGGTCGTCGTGGGTCGGTCGGTCGGTCCGTCGTCTTCGTCGTCGTCGCTTAGCTGGATCAAAACGGGTACGGAAAGAGTGGGCACGAGGACCAACAGCGTTTAATTGCGCATGTTGAAGAGGACTCGCTGTCGCCGTCGACGCGGACGGTGTTTGTTTAAATCAGCAAGGTCGCCCGCTCATCAGCGGCCTCTGTCGGTTTGGGGCAACATGTGCGGCTGGGCATTGTGCCCATGCTTTCCCTACACATTTTGGGTGTACCAACCCGCCGGTCGTCGTCGTCGTCGTCGTCGTCGTCGTCGTCGTGGTCGTGGTCGTGGTCGTGGTCGTGGTCGTCGTCGTCGTCGTCGTCGTCGTCGTCGTCGTCGTCGTGGTCGTGGTCGTCGTGACCGTGTTAGTCGTCGTCGTCGTCGTCGTCGTCGTCGTCGTCGTCGTCGTCGTCGTCCGTCGCTGTCGTCCGTCGCCGTCGTCGTCCGTCGGCGCAATCGTCGCTTAGAGCGATCGAAACGGGCACGGAACGAATGGGTACGACGGCCAACGCCGGTTCTAGTCCCCTGAACAGGGCTTGCTGTCGACATCGCCGCGGACGCTGTATGTTCGAGCCAGCAAGGCCTGTCCAATAGCGGCCACTGTCGCTTTGGGACAACATCTGCTGTGCTGGGCAGCGTGCCCATGGCTTCCGTACCCTTCTGGGGTGTGCCAACCCGCTGGTCGTCGTCGTCGTCGTCGTCGTCGTCGTCGTCGTCGTCGTCTTGGTCGTCGCGGTCGTGGTCTTCGTCGTCGTTTGTCGTGGTCGTCGTGACCGTGTTCGTCGTCGTCGTCGTCGTCGTCGTCGTTCGTCAGAGGAGGACGAGGTACCGATGCCGCTGCCCTTCGCATGCCGCCGCGGCCGGAGCTGCCCCGAAAAGTCCGGGTCCGAGCGCACCCCTCTGGAGAGGTCTGGGGAGCAGCGGTTTCGAGGCCCCCGGCGCCATGCCTCTCTCGGCCCCAGGGCGTTCTTCCTCGCTTCATCTGGCCTCTGGGCCAGCCCTGAGCAGGCCCGACAGACGCAAACGGTGAAGAGTGGGAATGGATGTGATATGTTAGCGTTTTGCAATTCTGGCGAATGTGCGTAAGGATAGGCGCCCTGTAAGCGAGGCCACTGCCAGCTGCCGCAGAGCGGGGAGGGCCCGCGAAGGGCGGGGAGGGCCCGCGAAGGGCGGGGAGGGCCCGCGCGCGCGGTCTAGTTCGTCTAGTTGGTCTACCGTTCCTCGTGTGGGGGGCGGGGGGCGGATTTTCATGCGTTCAAGCGGATCTTGGACGAGCCCCCCCCCCTGGGATGAGGATCTCTGGGGCCGCGCACTGGAAACATCACATCGTCGGACGTCGTCGTCGTCGTCGTCGTCGTCGTCGTCGTCGTCGTCGTCGTCGTCGTCGTCGTCGTCGTCGTCGTTCGGCTCACCCTCTCCCTGTCCTTCCACTCGCATAGACCCCGTTCTCCTTCACCCTTCTCCACGGTTCCACTTGCACCCTTCTCACCTTCTCCACTTCCTCCTCCTCTTCCTCCTCCTCCTCGTCCTCCTCTCTCTTCTTCTCCTATTGGAGAGGCTCGGCGGCCGATTCCGCCGACCCCGACGGGAGATCAGGAAGCCCCCCGGCAGGGCCGCGAGTGAGCCGAGAGCGCACCAAAGCAGGTCGACGGTTATCCCACAATGGCTTCAGCAGCACCTCGAGAATGGAGAAGAGGCAGAGGACACTCTGCCACCCTCTGTGGCTTTTGGCCTGTCCCGCCACCGCGCCTGGGTCAGGGGCCACAGGCCTTTTGAATGCAGGAGAGGGTCTCTCGGGCCGCTTCTCGGGGGCCTCTCGAAGGGCTCTTGGGCGCCTTCTGGGGGCCTCGAGGGGCCTCTTGGGGGCCTCTTGCGAGCCTCTTGCGAGCCTCTTGCGAGCCTCCAGGGGGGATCCTGGACGCCTGTGGGGACCTCTTGGGGGCCCCTTGGGGGGATTCTGGCGGTCTCGAGGATCTTCTTGGGGCAGAGGTCTCGACATGTCAGTTCGTGTCCCCCTCTTTGGTCTCTCCTGGGGCACCATGGGCCTTCCTGAGGTCCTCTTAGGTTGTCTTGGGGCCCGCTTCGGGGCTCCTTGGGCTGTAATGGGGCGATCTTGGTGGCCTCTTGGACCGTCTTGGAGCATCGGAAGACCGAGAAGACGAAACGCTAAACCCATCGAAAGCCGTAGGTGCATTACTGTTTTTTTTGTTGGTCTCAGGGCCCTACTTTCGGGGCCCTCTCGGGGGGATAAGTGGAGAGGAACAGCGGGGAGGCGGAGGAGGGGGAAGACCGAGGTGGACAAGGGCGAGGCGGAGGAGGGAAGGGCCTTCACGTTGCTCGGGAGCCCCGCCCCCCGTCCGGGGACCTCCCCCGCCCCCGCCCTGGGGAAGGGATACAGAGAAGGGGCTTCCTTGTACGAGAAGAGTTGGTTTTGGGTGGAGGTGGGCTAAAACACTGTATTATGGGAGGATCGGATTCTGCGGGGGCTTCGTTCGACCTCCTCGTACTCAACTCCTGCTCCTCCTATTCGTTCCCCCCTCCTCCCCCTTGCAATTGCAGCCGCCGGCGTCGGTGAGCCCCGCCCCCTTTCCGTCGTCGTCGCGGACGGCGAGCGCTGTTTGCGTTTGCTGTTATCTGCGCGTTGACACATGCTTTATTTTGGTGGTTTGGGTGCGTCTACATGATGCCAGCGCCTGGATCCCGAACGTTGGCTCTATGCAGTATGTAAGATGTGAGCTATGAGGTGCAATATTTGGAAATACGTCTTCTTCGGTGCAGTGCAATGGGGCTTATGCTATGGGGTGCAGCTTCTGCATTGCAGTTCATGGGTTGCAACGCAATGGATTGGCGTATTCCGCCGGGTGCACTCCTGCGCGGCGCAGTCTAACTGTGCAGGAACTCGCGCCCGCCGAGTCCACCCTGACATTCGCCGGCCTGCTTTTCACTCCGCAGCCCTGGAGGCCCCGACCGCTTCCCCCGGGGCCAGTTCTTCTCGCCCAAGATCAGCGTTTGATGACACTGGGGCCCGAGAACCTAGAGGCCGAGATCGAGGCAGCATCGCCCCGATGGAGGAACAGAAACCCGTCGTCAGACACGTGGAGCACGGGCCACGGGGCCCGAGAGCCCAGAGGCCGAACTCGAGGCAACACCGCCCAGATGGAGGAGCAGCAACCCATCGTCGAAGACTTGGAGCACGGGCCACGGGGGCACACACACACAGGGGGGGGCCACACGGCGCCCGACGGCCAGCCTGAACCCTGACCGTTGGATATCGGCGTGCTCCAGTCGCGACCGACGAGGTCGGATGCTGCCGATGTTGTGCTTCACGTGCTGGTGTCGGTCGCGACCGATCTGTCGCGATCATCGGTCGCGGCAGATTTGGAGTGCCGGACGGTCGGTACCGATCGCGACCGAAAAGGTCTGGTGCCCATTGGTTCAGGAACCTGCGGCACGGAGGGCCCCTGCCGCGGCCGCCACGAGGACGCATGCAGTCGAGGCGCCGACAGAAGGGCCACTTCGGGCCCAGGAGGGGCTCTGTTCCTCTGGCCGTGCCTTCGACCTATGGGTCGTGGAGCCATGGAGGCCCACGGAGTGGCGGCACGGGGGCCTCTCTGTCCCCCCCCCGGGCATCGCCAAACCTCGGCTGCTTGCCCGCGCCTCGGGGGCAGAAAGAGGCGTCGCCCCCGCTCCCGCCCCTCCCGTTCCCGGGCGGAGGGGGGGGGGGAGGCCCGGCATCGCTCGGGCGCGTGCATTCTTTCGGCGATGATCATCAAAGGAGCATCTGGCAGCACCCTGCGAACAAAATGCTCGCACGCAGTCGAGAAATACACGGGGAATGGACGTTCGAGCGATGCCAAGGAGGAGGAGGAGGAGGAGGAGGAGGAGGAGGAGGAGGAGGAGGAGGAGGAGGAGGAGGAGGAGGGAGACGAGGAGGAGGAGGAGGAGGAGGAGGGCTTGTTGAGCCCGCGCATCAGGAAGCAGCCCTCAAACACCCTTGGAGAGGGCGAGGCCCCCAGGGGGGGAAGGGGGAGGAAAAGAGAAAGAGGAGGAGGAGGATAGAGGATCGAGGAGGAGGAGGAGGAGGGGGAGGAGGAGGAGGAGGAGGAGGAGGAGGAGGAGGAGGAGTTGGAGCAGGAGCAGGAGCAGGAGCAGGAGGAGGAGGAGCTGCTCCCCCAATTCCCGCCCAGGCCGGCCGTCTCGCCGGGGACGCTCGCGTCGACGCCGCCAGCGTCCCCAGGGTCGCTGTCCTCGACCCCGGCGCCGGGGGCGGCGAGCGAAGCCCTTTTTCTCAGAGCGTGAATTACCTACCCCGCTTTCGCTTCCAGGAGAAACCAAGCCATACCACGCGCCTCCTCGTCAAGCGGCCTGACCAGTCCAGGCTGCAATTTGGCATCGTTTGGTATCTCTTGGAAGCGAGGGTGGTCAAAAGCGAGGTAGGTTTGTTTCCCCCCTATTTTCGCCAGTCGACCTGCGGGGAGCAGACCATACGAGCGAACGCAACTCGAGACGAATCGAGGCAAATCGAGGCGAATCCAGTCAAGTCGAAGGAGAAGAAGCGGCGTAAACATGCATAAACATCTGGCGCTCCGCGCGGATTTCTTGGATCGGCGCCTGGGCCCCCCTGGCGGCGCCTCTGGCGCCGCCCCTGGCGCGCTCCGCGCGCCAGGGAGGGGTGTCCAGCGCAGATCCAAGAAATCTGCGCGGAGCGCCAAAAGTTTGTGTTTATGCTGTTTTTTCTTCTTCAAGGAATCCAAACAAATCGAGGCAGCTCCAGAGAGGAGAAATCCAGAGATCCCCAGGGGGATCGTGAGCAGATCGTGGAAGCTCCGGCGCGAATCGAGGGACAGCAGAAGTCGTTCATCCCTCAATGACGAAGGAGGCATTTTTTCTTCAGAATTCGGGGAGTTTCCTTGCATGGGCAACGGCCCCCAGAGGCCGACAAAACCGAAAAACCGTCCGACGCCCCAGAACCTTGAGCTTCGCCCCTCCTTCCTGCTCGCTGGAACCAGCTCTGGGCCACCTCAGACCCCCAGCTGGCTTGAAACATAATCTGCCCTCTCTGAGGCAGGTTCTCTTCAGATCCTGGCAAGTTTACTTGCATGGAGGGGGGGGGGAGGGGTCGGGGCATGGCGAGGTTCGAAAGGAAATTTGGGCTCCACGCAAGTCGGAAACGACTTGCACGCCTTTTCGGTCCAGCGCTGTTTTCAAAAGGCGGGGGGGGGAGGAAATGCAATGCAAGTGAATTTGCTTGAGTCGAAAGAAAAGCAGCCTCGAGGGGGGCCAACGCTCGGTAGTTGCATTGGGTGTGGTTACGCTGGGGTGTGGTCTGCGATCTGTGCCGTCGGGGGGCTCGCCCTTTGCAAGCTGCACTCTTCGGAGTCGCCAAGGCGAGAAAAGGAGGGTCACTGTCACCTCTCTAGTCATCCGTTTCGTTGTTGAATTCTGATTCCCCAAGAATGATTATTGTTGATCCCCCACTGGTGTGCCTGGTTTTCTTGACTACAGTGCTCCTCCCGGATCACGATTTACTTGGGAGTCGTATTATCGCTCTCTTGCTTCCCCTGCATTCGGAGTTGCGCCAACTACATGTGGCAGGTAAGAAAGACAGACCCCCAAGGGAGGTACGATCGAAGACGAAGAGGGCGGCTATTGAGGGTTTATGATCTTCATGTTGACTGGCACGCGAGCAGATAGGAACGAACAATCTTAACATGATCATTGTGTTCGTTTTTGTGATTGCGATTGTTGTTGTTGTTGTTGGTGTTGTTGTTGTGGTGGTTGTTGTTGTTGTGGTTGTTGTGGTTGTTGTTGTTGTTGTTGTTGTTGTTGTTGTTGTTGTTGTTCTGGTTGTTGCTGTTGCTACTGTTTTGTTGTTCGTTTTGTTGTTTTTTGTTGGCTATTGGTGAACTCTCATTGCCGAAGACTAAGTTTTATTGATCCCCCCCTCCGGTGACCATTGTTTTTTCAATCGAAGTGCTTCCCCTCTTTTTTAACACAGGGAATGTCACGGGGCAACCTGTGTTGTTCGCCCCCGGTTTACATCAACAACGGCTCCCGCCTGATACGTCCTCACAATGTATTCCCAACTCGCGCTCTCGTGCGGGACTTCCTCACAATACGAATCGCGCTCTCGCGTGGGATTTCCCTGCAGTTTATTCAGACGATGCGCCCTCGGCGCTCAGGAATCACGCTCTCGCTTTGGCTTTTCTCACTATTTACTTGGAAATGGTGCTATCGCCCGAGACTTCCTCGCGATTCATGTAGGACCCAGGTTGCAGCAACCCGCCTGCTCGACCTGGTCGCCTGGGCCCGCCTTCCCGACCTACCCGCCATGGGCCTGCCCACCCGATCTGCCCGTCCGGTTCTACCACTTGTTTTCTACTCCTTGCCGCCCTCCTGCTAATCTCTCTCGTGTTCCATTCTTCTCCCTCCCCCTTCTACCCGTCTTCTCTTCCCTTGTTTTAGGGGCTGCACTAAATGCACGTGGCAGGTAAGGAAGATATGCCCCCAAAGGGGTAACGATCGAAGACGACGAGGGAGGGTACGGAGAGTTTGGGACATACGTATTGATTGGCACGTGGGCAGATAGGAGCGAACAGTCTTAAAGTGATTGTTGTTCTCGTTGTTGCTGTTGTTGTTGTTGTTGCTGTTGTTGTTGTTGTTGTTGAATATTATTACTTCTAAAGAATAATTATTGTTGGGCCCCCTGGTGCACGCCCCCCCTGCGCCGCCTAGGCCGCAGCTACATTTTCATCATTTTCGTGAGGAAGCCTCAGGTAAAACGATGTGATCCAGATCCGGTTGTTTTGTTGTAATCCGTTTTCCCTTGCAAAAAACACTATAAAATGACATTTCTTGTTCTAATATAATCAAATTTCAAGAATCCCTTGCAAAAAATAAGGTAAAGTGGACATTCGCGCGCGCAAGACGAAATCCTTCCAAAAGCTTAGTGTTCGGAGCGATTTTAACATAAAAACATCAAAAAACCAATGGTTTTTCAACAAAAAAATGTCAAAATCTCATCCCGCGCGCTCTTGCGGATTCGTAGGAAACCCAACACTTTTTAAACATTTCTGTCAAACGGGCTTTTGCGAGCAACTTTTTCGAACTTCTGCGACAACGGTTGCGCACCTGCCAGGGCCATCATCCCTGTCAAATAATACCATGCGGGACACATTCGTTTTTTGCGCGCGCACGCCGAAATCTCCAAAAACCATTGGGTTCTTAAGAATTTTAGCACCGCGCATCATAAAATCACACGAATCGCACCGTAGGTCCTCGAAAAACACCTGCACGACTTTTCAAAATTTCTACCCGCGCGCGCTGTCCGAATCCTAAAAAAACCAATGGTTTTCCAACATTTATGTTACATGAGCTCGCGCGAGCTACTTTCGCACGCTCTTGCAACGGGGTTCGCGCGCCTGCCAGGGGCCATAATCCCTTGCGGTTGCGCCATAGGTTGCGCCCTCGGCCGCCGAGAATAAAACGCCCCCCTATTGGTTGCGCCATAGGTTGCGCCCTCGGCCGCCGAGAATAAAACGTCCCCCTACTGGTTGCGCCATAGGTTGCCCCAGGAGGCCTTCAAGAGGCCCCAAGAGCCCGCCGTGAGGACCCAATAAGCCCCCAAGAGGCCCCAAGATGCTTCCAAGAAGCCCCCCAAAGCCCCTCAAGAGGACCCCAAGCGGCGCCAGGAGGCTTCCCCCCTTCCCCAAGAGGACCCCAAGCGGCCCCAGGAAGCCTCCGACTGATCACTGTCACATCCGTAGCCATCTCGGATCAAGGTATCGCCTGTGTTCTTGGATGGGTCATGGCTTTGTCGGCGAAAGCCCTTGACGACCAGTATGGCCCAGAGCTGTCGCGGCCTCCCTTGGCCGACTGCGAGAGCCCGTATTATTTGCATCAGGCGCTCGTTGCAAAGGGTATCCAGGTCAGTCACCAGGCGTGCAAGACTTGGTGGGGCAAATATCGGGTTGTGCCTGGCAAGGTTAGTATTTCTAGCGCCCAGGAGCTGGAGGAGCAGCACGGTTCTGCCATCCGCCACCTGGGCATCGAGTATAACACACCTTTCAAATTATGCGGGGCGCTCCGACAGTTGGATCCACCACTGTATGTGACAGATCAGGACGCAAAGATGTGGCTACTGCAGTATTCTTCCAAAGAGACGCTTGTCAAAGTGCAGAACGCTGGCCATCTGGAGACCTGGTATGGAGAACGTATTCGCAAAGACATGCCCGAGGGGACTACTGACGGGGCCGTGTTGAAGCAGTGGCTCCTGGGACATTTATCTGTATCTGCTGACGCCAGGGTATGCCACAACAACGGAAACAAGTCCTGTGGTATGCTGGCGCCACGCACGTGATACCAGTCAAAATAAGGGTCTTGGCTTGTGTGGTACAGAAACGTTAAAACGTCGGAAAACGGTACACGTGCCCATTGTTGGAACAGGGGTATAAGTCGTATACTAAGCTAGTTTCCACAAGATGTTACCACAAGAAGTCATTGTAACCATGCGCCAGTGTAGTAGCCAAGGTCGTCCGCAGGCCACGAAGTGAAGTGTCCGAACGTCATAGGGCGGGAAGCTGGGTGTGGGTGGTGGCGAAAAGTCGTTTGGAAACTTGGTAGAGCTTGAACCGGCCCCCCCACAAAGTGGGGGTATTGCCCGCCTCCTATGAAAACCCTGGCGCTGGTGAGAACGGAGTGTCCCCAGTCTTAAATGATTGTTGTTGTTGTTGTTGTTGTTGTTGTTGTTGTTGTTTTGTAGTTGTTGTTGTTATGGTTTTTGTTTTTTTTTTTTTTGCTGTTCTTGTGATTATGATTATTCTTATTGTTGTTGTTGCTGATGCTGCTGCTGCTGTTAAAATCGCATTTCTGAAGAATGATTAGTGTAGATCCCCCCGCTAGGGTAACCATTGTATTTTTCAATTACAGTGCTTCTCCCAGGGCTCGCACCCCGTTTCTTACACGCGAAACCGAGGTGTCACCAAACTGTGCCCCTGGCCCCCGGTTTACAACAACAGCAACAGCTCCCGCCTGCTACGTCACATTGTATTCCTAAATCGAGCTCTCGCGTGGAACTTCTTCACCATTTATACAGGAATCGCGCTCTCGCGAGGGACTTCCTCACAATTTATTCAGATGCTGCGCCCTTGGCGCTCAGGAGCCACGCTCTCGCTTTGGCTTGTTTCACGATTTACTTGGACATCGCGCTATCTCTCGAGACTTCCTCGCGATTCATGCAGGACGCACGCTTTAGCACC